CGTGAAGGGTTACACACACACACACACACACACACACACACACGGCAGAGTACAGCGGCTCATTCCTGTAATCCCAGCACTTTGGGAGGCCAAGGCAGGCAGATGACTTGAGGTCAGTGGTTTGAGACCAGTCTCGCTAACACAGCAAAACCCCACCTTTACTAAAGTAGAGAAAAATAGCTGGGCGTGGTGGCACGCACCTGTAGTCCCAGCCCCAGCTACTACGGAGGCTGAGGCAGGAGAATTGCTTGAAGTCAGGAGGCAGAGGTGGCAGTGAGCTGAGATTGTGCCATTGCACTCCAGCCTGGTCAAGGAGAGCCACACTTCATCTAAAAAAATAATAATAATTGTAAGTGACATTTGAATATATACAATTACAATGTCAATAAAAATAAATAAATGAATAAATAAAATTAGTCCATTTAAAAAAATGGCATCTGGACATTCCTACATTTTGGAAATTTAAAAAATATGTAGTGGGGATACCCCTCATAAATGTCTAAGCCTCTCAGTTTTTCCTTCCAATGCATTGCAGTTTGTCTTTGTTTAGCCCTTTTCCTGGGATCCAGAGACTGAGCACGGTGCAAGCTATGCTTTTTTTTGTAAATGCAGCCCCTCACATTTCTAGAAGACAACCAGGTAAACTTCAGGGCCCTACATCGGTCACCGTTCCATCTGCTCTGCTTCTTCCTATCCCTGCAGAAACCCAAGGCCTCTTTAGCCAATGAAGCTGCTGTGGTCGCAAATAAGCTTGTGCCCCTGGGAACCTATGAGATGCAATTTGTCATCGGTCTCCCTCAGCCTTGGCCTGAGCCCAAGAGAAGGCAGCTGCTCTGAGGTTTGAGACTCTCCAGTGACTCAGCTCTCTAATTCCCAGCGCTCTGTGCATATGCCCTCCTCAATTCCGTCTCCTAGACTATGCCAGATGTAGGTCAAGTCCTCAAAGATGACATCACCAAGATGCAAAATCCTAAAATCCTCCATTAAGCACCTACCAGCTGCGGTGGCCCTGCGGGGGCCCTGGGGGAGATGTATGCGGCAGACTGCAGGCAAAGTCCTTCTTTAAGGCTGGTGTCACAGGAATTACTCAACGCCTCCTCCTGCTGGGGAAGGAGACCTGCCTTTTGTCTAGGCACAGTTGCTGCAATCATGCATGTTCACTAATCCAGTTCACTAAGGTAGGAAGCCACAATAAAGTTTGGGGCCAAAAGTGCAGGAATAAAAAGATTTGCTTTATCTGGAATGGTCTTAATTTTTAAATAAGAACATATTTTGTAATGTCCTTCCTCCTCTTGTTTTATTCTTCTCTTTTTGTTTTCAAATAATTAAAGATACACAGAAAGTTGCAAAATTAGCACGGAGATGTCCCGTGCACTCTTCACGCAGTTTCCCCAGTGCTGACATCTTACAAATTATAGTACATTATCAAAACAAGCAATCAAGACATATTTTCCCAATGCATTGTAGTAGGTGGATGCAATCTCTTTCTGCATATCATGACTAACAATACAGGCTCATGGTTTTCAAAGGACTGCTTTCTGAAGGAACTGTAATGAAGACTTAAAGAGGACTGAGCTTTGGGAGGCCGAGGCGCGTGGATCACAAGGTCAAGAGATCGAGACCATCCTGGTCAACATGGTGAAACCCCATCTCTACTAAAAATACAAAAAATTAGCTGGGCATGGTGGCATGTGCCTGTAATCCCAGCTACTCAGGAGGCTGAGGCAGGAGAATTGCCTGAACCCAGGAGGCGGAGCTTGCGGTGAGCCAAGATCGCGCCATTGCACTCCAGCCTGGGTAACAAGAGCGAAACTCCGTCTCAAAAAAAAATAAAAAGAGGACTTAAGGACTGAGCTGATCTCATGGGTTGTGGAGGCCTCTGGTGTTGGGAAAGTCCTTTAAAGCTGAGGCAAGATAACCAAACTTGAAGAAGATAACTAGGACTTTGTATGTTCTTATCTATCAGTTATTGGATGTGGCTGCCCTCATGGAAGGGAGGTATAACCTTGGGAAAGGCAGCTCTTTCCAGCTAAGGGCAATTCCCAGAGAGGGAGCTGTCACAGCCAACACTCCTGGCAGCTGGGGAATGAGTGACAATCTTGAAGGTAGAATTTGGGTAGCACACAACAGTATCTGCTATACTAGACTTCAAGATCAGTATGAAGGTATATTTATCAGAACAAAAGCTGGAACATGTTTTATTTAATAATTTATTTGTTTGGCTTATAACAGTAAACCATCTCTAGCATACATTTCCCTTCTTGATTATCAGACAGCTGCTCTGAGGGATATCCAAACCCACATTCAGGAAGTAAGATAGACACCAGCCTGGACTGCTGAATAGATGCCCTGTGATTTATCTTCAGACATGACTCAGTGGAAATGCAGTAGACCCCATTCTAAAGCCTCCCTTGAGAATACTTCCAGGCCCAGTCAACTTATCTTGGTCTCACTATGAGGAAGGGAGCTGAGATCAGCTGCACCCTGAGATACTAAGATCCTGATAGGGAAGGGGTGAAATCAGGGTGGAAATAGACAAGACAAAGGCAGGCAGATGTAGGAGGTAGTCAAAAGGCCAGTTGTGCTCTATTTTTGCCTTCTATGAGGCATCTTATGGGCATGTTCCACATTACCTGGTTATTAGTCAGGGTGGTGAGTTAAGGTTTTCTTGAATGAAATCATCAGTCCCCCTCCTCTCCCTGTGAAATGCAATCTGTTTCCAAGAATTTCCTAATGTATAGTGATTTTATTGAGGCTAGAGCATGGATTTTCTATCCCATAACTTTTTAAGAGGGATGAGATAGAACATAATGTCAGAAAATAATATTGTTCCAAGATTGGTAAAGGCTAATAATTGTTGAAGTCTCATGATAGGTAAACAGAGGCATTTTCTTAATTTTTGTGTAAGTTTGAAAATTTCCATAATAAAAAGTGTTATAAATTGTCTTAGCAGGTTACATAACTAATAATGAAGGTACAATTTTCGTTGGTCTTAATGAGATTTTGGAAAGTGGAGATGTGCAGGGCTTTGGACCTCCTAAACTATTCAGGCTATGAATAACTGATTCAGCGAGTTCAATGTGGGAGGGCAGGAGAGCTCGCTTTTTAAAAGATCACAGCGCCATCTACCGGCGAAAGCGCCCACCTCCCTTGCTTAGGATCATGTTAGGATGCTGGGGTGATACTAGCAAACATCACTATTGGCCACTTAAGAAGTGAAGACAACAAGAAACCATTCAAAAAATAAAATGGTGGCAGGAAGAGGTGACTCAAGCCTGTAATCCCAGCATTTTGGGAGGCTGAGAAGGGAGGATCGCTTGAACCCAGGAGTTTGAGACCGGCCTGGGCAACATAGTGAGGTCCCCATAGCTACCAAAAAAAAAAAAAAAAAGAAAGAAAAGAAAAATATAAGGAATTATAATTAATTAAAAAATACAATAATGAAAATATTACAAACTGCTATTATTCAGCCATAAAAACCGATAAAAAAGAAATTATATTCTGATGCAAGCCACAACATGAATGAACATTGAAAAAAATTATGCAAAATGAAATAAGCCAGACACAAAAGGACAAATATTGCATGATTTCACTTACATTAGATATTTAAAATGGGGAAATCTGGTTTGTCAGCACAACAGGGAAAAAAATAAATAAAAGTAAAATAGGAAAATCATAGAGGCGAAAAGTCAATTTCATCAGGTGACATGGCTCATGCCTGTAATCCTAGCACTCTGAGAAGCTGAGGCGGGAGAATTGCTTGAGGCCAGGAGTTCGAGACCAACCTGGGCAACATAGTGAGACACCCACACCCACTATCTCTAAAAAAGAAAAGAAAACATAAAACACAAAAGAAAAAAAAAAAAAGAAAAAAAAAATAAAAAGAAAAGAAAACAAGTCGATTAGAGGTTACCAGGGACTGGGGGAGGTGGCAGGGCAATAGGGAATTACTGCTTAATGGGTAACGAGTTTCTGTTTGGAGCAATGAAAAAGTTTGGAAATAGATAGTGGTTGACAGCTGCACAGTGTCAAATGTAATTAATGCCAAATGAATTACACATTTAAAATGGTTAGGGCGGGCTCAGTAGCTCATGCCTGTAATCCCACCAATTTGGAAGGCTGAGGCGGGTGGATCACTTTAGGTCAAGGGTTCAAGACCAGCCTGACCAACATGGTGAAACCCCGTCTCTACTAAAAATACAAAAATTAGCCGGGCATGGTGGCGGGCACCTGGAATCCCAGCTACTCAGGAGACTGAGTCAGGAGAATTGCTTGAACCCGGGAGGCGGAGGTTCCCGTGAGCCGATATTGCGCCACTGCACTACAGCCTGGGTAACATGAGACTCCGTCTCGGAAAACGAGGGGCTGGGAGCGGTGGCTCAGGCCTGTAATCCCAGCCCTTTGGGAGGCGGAGGCAGGCGATCACTTGAGGCCAGGAGTCCGCCTGGCCAACATGGCTAAATCTCAACTCTACTAAAAAATAAAAATAACGGTGGCTCAAGCCTGTAATCCCAGCACTTTGGGAGGCCAAGGCCAGTGGATAATGAGGTCAAGAGCTCGAGACCATCTTGGTCAACATGGTGAGACCCCGTCTCTACTAAAAATACAAAAAATTAGCTGGGCATGGTGGCGCGTGCCTGTAATCATAGCTACTCGGGAGGCTGAGGCAGGAGAATTGCCTGAACCCAGGAGGCGGAGGTTGCGGTGAGCCGAGATCGCGCCATTGCACTCCAGCCTGGGTAACAAGAGCGAAACTCCGTCTCAAAAAAAAATAAATAAATAAAATAAAAGTTAGCTGGGGGTGGTGGTAATCCCACGCTTGTAATCCAGCTAATCGGGAAGCTGAGGCACCAGAATCGCTAGAGCCCGTGAGGCAGATGTGGCAGTAAACCAAGATCGGGCCACTGAACTTCAGCCTGGGTAAGAGAGTGAGACTGTGTATCAAAAAATAAAATAAAATAATAAAAAAGGCAATAAAGAGGCGCTAAGGAGAGACCAGACCACAAAGCCTGTTGTCCACCCAGACAGGCTCCGTGGACAGCTGCCAGGCCTTCCCCTTCTGGAGATCCCCAGGCTGTCCCAAATGCCTTAACTAGAGATGGAAAGAAAAAATCTCAACTGGAAGCAGGGCAGCTGCTATAGCTGGTTCTTGAGCTTTGGAGACTGGATCTCATTTTGGGAAGTTTGAGGCAACTGGGAGGACGTAGGAGGTCCGAACCCGGAGAAGGGAAGCCAATAGACATTGCTTTGTGCCTGTCTGCGCTCAACCCGATCCCTAAGGGTAAGTTTTGGAATTCGGTGTCGCCGCTCCTCTCCTGGAAAGGGCACCCGCCCAAGCCCGCCCTGATCTCCACCAGACCCCGCGTGGGCTGCCCTGCGGCCCCCTGACCCATCCCCAGCGAGTGCAAGAACCCGCAACGGGCTTGGGCTCGGGCTCGGGCGGGCGGGGCTCGGCCAAGCTCCCTTGCCTGGAATGCCGAGATCAAAAGCAGATGAGGTCACGGGCTGCCGCGCTGCACATGAAAGATATTTGTTGTTCTGCATAGAGGAGAGAACCAAATCGCCTCAGGGGATTGTCGGTTTGCTGTCTCTCTTTTATTCGATTGGAAGAAATCACGGGGGGAGGGGATCCAGCCCTTAAATCTCAGAGTGTGGGGAGAAGCTGGGATTTCCGTGGGGAAAGGGATGGTAGGAGGTGGCCTTAGGTGTCACTGTGAGCAGCGTCGTAGGGAAAGAAGCTGTGTCCACAAGGGACCTGCAGGACAGTGACTTCAGGAGCAGACGGAGCAGGCGAGGGAGGTGGAGCCCTGGCTGGTCCTTTGGATGTCTGGGCTCGCACAAACCGGGTTGGACTACGAATGTCTGCCGTCACCCCTGCGGTCGCCGCCATTTCCTGCTTACAAAGCTTCGCTGAGACTGCGGCGCCTGCGCGTTCCCCAGCCTCAGCCCGCCCTCTAGCGGAAGGCTGCGGTGTAGCTGGAGCGCGGGGCTCCGGATTTCCCCACTTACAAATTAAGAACGATCAGGCTGGGCACGGTGGCTCACGCCTGTAATCCCAGCACTTTGGGAGGCCAAGGCGGGAGGATCACAAGCTCAGAAGATCAAGAACATCCTGGCCAACACGGTGCAACCCCGTCTCTACTAAAAATACAAAAAATTAGCCAGGCGTGGTGGTGCATTCATGTAATCCCAGCTACTCAGGAGCCTGAGGCAAGAGAGTCCTTGAACCCGCGAGGCGGAGGTTGCAGTGAGCCGAGATCGCGCCACTGCACTCCAACCTGAGCGACAGAGAACTCCGTCTCAAAAACAAAACAAAACAAAATAAAAAAACAGGACTGATCATACACAACTGGCAGAATTGCAGCGACGATAACTAATGATAACAGTCTTGGTAGTAATAGGGGTGACATTCGTTGTAGCAGCTGTGCTAAATGACTTACGTGGGTCATCTCATTTAATCCACACAAGAAGGCAGGTGATATTATTATCCCCATTTACAAATGAGGAAAGTAATACTTAGAGAGCTTCTCTGGCCTGTCCCGGCTCAACAGCTCCTACCGCCAGAATTAAATGTGTTTCTACTATGGACTGCCTAGTATTCTGAGCCCTGGTTCCTGAGTGCCGGTTCCTTTCCCTTGTCTTCTCCTGGCAAGCATCCTTGTGGCTCATGTCAAATGGGTTTGTCTCACATGAAATGAGTCAAGGGAGTTGGCTGCACTGAGTATCCTGCCCAGGCAGCTCCCTTCTGAGCTCTAGAGCAACCCCTCCTCCCAGGAAAGGAACTGGGACCAACACGATATTATTGCTGGATCTCAAGTGTGGGAACCACTTAGCTCCAGAGACACAACACTGGTTTTTGTTTGTTTGTTTTTAAGACAGAGTGTCACTCTTTCCCCCAGTTGGAGTGCAGTGTTGCAATCTCGGCTCACTGCAACCTCCGCCTCCCAGGTTCAAGCGATTCTCCTGCCTCAGCCTCACTAGTAGCTGGGATTACAGACATGTACCACCACGCCTAGCTATTTTTTGTATTTTTAGTAGTGACAGAGTTTTGCCATGTTGTCCAGGCTGGTCTCCAACTTCTGACTTCATGTGATTCTCCTGCCTCAGCCTCCCAGAGTGCTGGGATTACAGGCGTGAGCCACCTTGCCCAGCCAAAACACTCTTGTCCACTATCCGGGGTGCCTACCTTCTAGCAGCAAGATACCTGGAAGGAAACATTGACTGCCAGTCAAAATACGTTGTTGGGTGACCAAGAAATCAAAGATAAGAGAGGTAGATATTTTAGGAGTATTTCATCCGGGGAATAAAACATTGTATATATCTATACCCTCCTTGTTTTAAAAAAAATCTAAAATAGCTTAAACACAATGCAATAGAATTAAAAATCACAACTAGGGCGGAGCCTGGTGGTGCCTGCCTATAACCCGCCCCTACTATGGAGGCTAAGGCAGAAGGATTGCTTGAGACCAGGAGTTTGAGACTGCCCAGCCCGGGCAACATAACCAGATTTCATCTCTAAAAAACAATAAAATGAATTAGAGAGGCTATTGGGGAACATACCTGTAGTCCCAGTTACTTCCTTGGAAGGCTGAGGCTGGAGGATCACTTGAGCCCAGGAGTCTGAAGCTGCAGTTAACTATGAGTGAGACCCCATCTCTAAAAAAAGAAAAGAAAATATGAAGGCAAGTGAAGTTAGAAAAATCAGAGAAAACCAATGAGATTAGTATAAACATCATGCTATGTGGGGGGTGGGGGTCACAGATTTGGAACTGAGCTCTCTAAAAGTCAATTCAAAGAGGGAAACACAACCATTACATGGCTTCCAGTGTCCATAAGGTAAAAAGGGACCAAAGTCTCAGAAGCAGTGCGACAGCCAGGTGGAGGGGGTTCCCTGGAGAAACTCCAACCAGCCTGCCCACTGAGGTGGAGCCTCAGGAAGTTCCCGCCCTTTGCATCGGGGAGCAGCCTGGCCCCTCTTAGTGTGTGGAGCCTGGGATTTGAATGGCAGGTGGGAAGCCCTCTAGCAGGGACTCTGGCCTAGTGAGAGTCCCTGGTTCCCCCTTCTTCCTTTTCACCCAGTAAAACCCTGTCTCACTCACCGATCAAATTGTCTGTGAGCCTGAATTTTCATGACTGTGGGACAAAGAACTCCGTCTTTAGCTGAACTAAGGAAGAGTCCTGAAACAGTAGCACAACTATCCCTTTCCCTGAGACCCGGAAGCAGTTTCCTTCTGGTCTCCCGTGGCTGGAAGGGGTGTGATAAAGCGAACAACCTCTCAACCATACCCTTACTGTAAATACAAGTTTTCATAGGATTTATTCATTTCTTCCAATATTCCTGCTACAGCTGGTGGCACCATGTTCCGGCAGAAGCCGTCAGATCGGTGCGATCCCATGCTGCTTGCCCCTGCTACTGGTCTGGCTTAATCCAGGGATGGATTCTAGTATACATGAAATAGGTGGCACGCGTATTCTTCCACCAAACTGACATAAGAGGTCTCTCTCCACCCATCTTTTGATATGTAGAGCATGACTGTGAATTCAATGCTATTATACACTTGATGTCACAGCCATGTTGAAGCTACTGATTAAAAGCAGGTTATGGGCTGGGCGCAGTGGCTCACACCTGTAGTCCTGGCATTTTGTGGGGACTGAGGCGGGCGGATCACAAGGTCAAGAGATTGGTGGTGAAACCCTATCTCTACTAAAAGTACAAAAATTAGTTTGGCATGGTGGCATGTGCCTGTGGTCCCAGCTACTTGGGAGGCTGAGACAGGAAAATTGCTTGAACCCAGGAAGCGGAGGTTGCAGTGAGCTGAGATTGCACTAATGCATTCCAGCCTGACGACAGAGCAAGGTTCCGTCTCCAAAAAAAAAAAATGTAGGTTATGGCCGGGTGTGCTGGATCACAACTGTAATCTCTTTGGGAGGCTGAGGTGGGAGAATTACTTGAGCCCCGGAGATCACCCTGGACAAAACAGACCCTGTCTCTATTAAAGAACATTAAGAAAATAAAATTAAAAATAGGTTTTTTTAAAAAAAAATTTAAACCGATTTTTATTTTATTTTCTTAATTTTCTTTAATAGAAACTTCTGGCCAGAACAGAATACTCACGGCCAGAACATGCCCATCTGCATGTTCCCCTGCATGGGACAAATGACTCAACAGCTCACGGTTCTTGTCCTTGAGCCCCACTTTCCTAGATTCCATAAAGGCCACCCTCTACTGCAGCCGCGTTCTTCAGTTGGAGCCTAGTACCATGGATTTGATTGTTGCTTCCTTAGGTCTAGTCTTTATCCGCGCATGCTTCCTGGGGGCTACCTTTGATTAGCTTTATTTAATCCCCAATTTCCTTAGCACCACCTACAGTGCCTTTCCCAGACAGTGCCTCTCATTCACTGTGCAGATTCCCCACAACTCTCAGTCATAGCTGATTAACTGCCACGGAATGTCCCAGGAAACGCTTTACTAGCTGTATGACTTTAGGCAAATTACTTAACCTCTCTGGGCCATGTTTTTATCATTGATAAAGTTGATAATGCCTATCTTGGCAAGATGTTTGGAATTTAAGTAAGTTAGAGGCTGGGTGCACTGGCTCACACCTGTAATCCCAGCACTTTTGGAGACTGAGCACTTTTGGAGGCTGAGGTGGGTGGATCACCTGAGGTCAAGAGTTCTAGACCAGCCTGGCCAACATGGTGAGACCTCTGTCTCTTCTAAAAGTACAAAAATTAGGCTGGGTACAGTGGCTCATGCTTGTAATCCCAGCACTTAGGAGGCCGAGGTGGGTGGATCACCTGAGGTCAGGAGTTCAAGACCAGCCTGGCCATCATGGTAAAACACTGTCTCTACTAAAAATATAAAAATTAGCTGAGCCTGATGGTGGGTATCCGTAATCCCAGCTATTTGGGAGGCTGAGGTAGGAGAATCGCTTGAACCTGGGAGGCAGAGGTTGCAGTGAGCCAAGATTGTACCACTGCACTCTAGCCTGGGCAACAGAGTGAGTCTCAAAAAAACCAAAACAAAACAAAACAAAAAAACAAATTAGCTGGGGACATAGCCCCAACTACTTGGGAGGCTAAGGCAGGAGAATCCTTTGAACCCAGGAGGTGGAGGTTGCAGTCAGCCAAGATCCTGCCCCTGGATTCTAGCCTGGTGGACAGAGTGACACCCCATCTCAAAAAATAAATAAGAATAGTAACAATAGCAAATGGTTATTGAGTTCTTATTGTGCCCAACATGATGCTAAGAATTTCATACAGCCGGCCGCGGTGGCTCAA